ATTTGCATATTCTTCATACAAGTATATAAGATTTTGAAAATATTATTCCATAATTTAAGAGCAGCACGAATGTCTGACAAATACGAACTGTAGATGCATACAATATATGTGTGTGTGTGTGTGTGTGTGTGTGTGTGTGTGTGTGTGTGTGTGTGTGTGTGTGTGTGTGTGTGTGTGTGTGTGTGTGTGTGTGTGTGTGTGTGACAATAATATTCTATGCGATCGATTCTTCATCCAAAAACAATTTCCTGAACGCTTACTCAATTCCTCCCCGAAACAGGTAGCGTTCCTTTGACCATAAAACTCATAGACGTCTAAACTTACAAATAACTCAACGATAAGCAACCCACGAATCAAAGGGCGGAGTCGATCCTGAGACGTCGCCAAGAACTTATTGGAATTTCACTGTCTTCCATGTGAGAATTACCCTGCATTTGGAATTGGTAACTTTTGGTCTCGTCTCTATTTCTCTCTCTGTTTCCTTCTCTTTCGCTCTTAATTAACTTCTGTGTGGTGCAGCGGTAGCGATCTCGTCTAGCAATCTTGCTGACCTGCGTTCAAATCCCTCGCCGCCAGTGGATGGTAACCCCGGCCATTCCTTGCACAGGGGATCACTTAGAAGCAAAATGAAACAGACAGTATGTCACACCAAGAATATCCATTGTAACAAATGAAATCAAAACTAAACCAAACCAAACCAAACCACTCTCATTCCTGTACCATTTCTCGTTCCTTCTCTGTCTCTCTCTCTCTCCCTATCACTTCCTCTCTCTTTGTCAATGTCTCTCTCTCTCTCTCGCTCTCTCTCGCTCTCTCTCGCTCTCTCTCTCTCTCTCTCTCTCTCTCTCTCTCTCTCTCTCTCTCTCTCTCTCTCGCTCTCTCTCTCTCTCTCTCTCGCTCTCTCTCTCTCTCTCTCTCTCTCGCGATCTCTCTCTCTCTCTCTCTCGCTCTCTCTCTCTCTCTCTCGCGATCTCTCTCTCTCTCTCGCGATCTCTTTCTCTCTCTCGCGATCTCTCTCTCTCTCTCGCGATCTCTCTCTCTCTCTCTCTCGCTCTCTCTCTCTCTCTCTCTCTCGCTCCTCTCTCTCTCTCTCTCTCGCTCTCTCTCTCTCTCTCTCGCGATATCTCTCTCTCTCTCGCGATATCTCTCTCTCTCTCGCGATATCTCTCTCTCTCTCGCGATATCTCTCTCTCTCTCGCGATATCTCTCTCTCTCTCGCGATATCTCTCTCTCTCTCGCGATCTCTCTCTCTCTCTCGCTCTCTCGCTCTCTCTCT